GTATTGTCCCAAAACCTTTAAATTCATCTGCAACGTTTTTTCAGACTGATTTATGTTAATGACTTTAAATGTCATGTATTCTTGAACTTCCTTAGATAGGGTCAAATTGTGTTGCTCTCTTTCAATGTTTACTACTTTTTTTTGCATCTGTGGTTCTAGAACAGCACACCTACGCACCACTCAACTTCGCTCTACTCAGCAAAAAAACTGTTGTGGTTCCATTGATTCAGTGATCCCTGGAGGTGAGGTATCAAGCCACAAATCTAGCTGTCAGTGGTGACATTTATGGCTTGTTATTCCTCTGCTACCTTGGCAAACACTTTGTCATTTATCTAAGCCTAATATACTGCTGTAGAAAATCGCAGTCTTCTATGATTCACATGAAGGCATGCCATCGTTGCACCAAGGGTTAGACGTGCTGTTTGCTTGTGAGGATTACATGGCTTGCCTGTAGTGTAGCCACTTTAAAAATGGCAGTTATTTTTTAGCTCACAGACTTATAAAATTGACCACTCACATGGTCAATCAGACCAGCAGTGTCTTCAGTCTGTTCCCAAAACAGACTGAAAGGATTGGACCGTCCCAAGTGGAGATATAGAAAAACAGTAAATAGTGATTACTTCATGTTGAGAGAAGGTTTCCAGTTAAGTTCTAAGTGATGTATTGTTTTTTCTAATTACGGAGTAATCAACTCAACCTTTTAAAACTGCTTTTAGTATCTAAGCTGTTATCTAGTTTTGCTGAAGGTATCTTTGTGATAAAAATATGCTCTCTGAGAAAATAGAGGGTTTAAAGCCAATGACTAAATGTGAATGGCTGGACTTTGGTGTAAAACGTTTTACCATTTGTATCGTAATTTCATCTTATCACACTGATCAAGTGGACTAAATTAGTACGGATTAAATTTGAGACTTTTTGATACTCTTAATTGGATATAAGTAAAACTGTGACTTATAAAACTTATTCCAAGCATTAATTACCATCTAAGCAAACATTTAGCCACTAAAAAGCACTAAATAATCTCCTCATTACAGAAGAATACTATAGTATACACTGTAGTTTGATTTAAATCACCAGTGACACTGGTTATGGCTAAGGAACAGTCATTAAAACACGTAAGGGTAAAGAATAAACAATAAAAATGTATTAAATAATATCATAAAATCTTGTATTTCTTTGTAATTGACATGGAAATTAAACACAAACGTCAAATAAAAAAAATCCTAAATTTAAGAAAATATTTGGTTTTTTGCAATTAAATAGTAATGGCATTCAGTAAATCATACAAGGATATTACCTTTTTTCATTCAACTAAGAAATGTTTCTAACCCAATATGAGACAGATATCACTCAAAAGACTAAAAACATCTAAAACAATATTAATAAATCAAACTGTTCTTTTGCATTTTACAAATTAAAATATGTAATGTGGATCAGTCTTCATAGACATACATAGTCATTAGAAATAATTTTGTTGAAATTACTTAAAAAGACAATTATATAATTCTTGTGACAGTTGACTGGGCTTTAGGATGTTGGTACTTTTAAAATTTGTCTTTAAGGTTAGAAGACCTTTGCCAACACCTCAATCTTTTCCTTCACAGATTCTCTATCACATTCAAGTCAAGTGTCTGGCTGTGCAACTCCATATCCTTACCATTAATTCTAGTTAAAGGAAACACTGGTGAAGCTCCAGCTATATGCTGATGACACTATTATTTATGTCTCTGCCAAGATTCCATAGAAGGGTGTAGAGCTACTAAATTGGCAATGGGTCAGGGCTCCTCTGTGATTGGAGGATACTAGCTTATCTTTGACTGTTTTAAAACAGCATCTTGGTCAGAGAGACTGACTTACACATGGTGTGGGCAAGTCTAGTAAGGCTCAGAGACTCTCTGGTCTAAAACAGACCAGACCAATCCCAGCATGGACGGTAAGAGTTTATGCTTGCACCAGATTAACCAATAATGCAATAGCACTTTCTTTTACCATAATAGCCATTTTATCTGTAATTTGGCAATGGAGTTTTAATTATCTTTACATTTTAATAACTGGCTGCTGTGGCTGGCTAAGATACCAAAATAATCCTCATGTCTTTTTCATTGAGACAATAGTCAATGGACAATTCTCCAGATACAATATACTCTAAATGGAGTGAAATGAGTAGATAAATCAAAATATCAGCAAGTTGTCTCGGACTCCCATCCCAAATTCAAAGGTCATACAAAGAAAAAAGAAAAGACCGATCTAAACTGTTTTGGAAAATCTTGCTTGTTGACTGATGCAGCCAAGATATCCTTTCATGCAATGACATGACAATAACTTTAGATAAACATTTTAAGCAACCTTTATCTCCAACGAGTGAAAATAATTTAGGTCAGAAATGTGAAAATTATACTCAGATATCATTGATTCCTCTACCATCATTTCATGTTTCTCATTTCCATAAACACAAACGCTATTTATATCTCTGGGTTCATTCTGACACCAAGCGTTTGCAGGGCTCTGTGGGTTTTTCTTATAATCGTGTAGTAAGCTGCAAGTGCTTACTAATTGATCCATGCATTAATCAGTCAGCACCTTGTGTCATTTGTCAGGTAAAGCTGTAGAAAAACACAACACCGAGGAGCATATACCAACTCTGGAAGATATCATTAGTAGATTTCTAATTAAATGATACAACTTGATAACCGAGAGTTTTTTAATTTTATAAAATTTCAACAATTCTGAAATGATCTGATCTGATCTAACACAGCTATTACAATAAAAAAGCCAGATTTATATCAAATAAATCTTAGTTTCAAGCCAAACCATATATATTAAAACATTTGGGTATTGTCTTTATATAAATGAAACAGTATATTGGTGTATTTTCTTGTCAAACTATGGGAGAAATATACCAACAAGCAATTAATCTCCGTTCTAAACAATAATGTGAAATGATGGACTTTGATATAGCTGTATTACATTTAAATAGAGGTTTTTGAGAATCACAGCTTCATAAATTATTCTGACTTAAGCAGTGTACGTTTTAGGATTTTAGAGGCGAGACTTTACATGTGAATTTCAACAACCAGTCCATATTCCATTTTTGTCACATAAAATATAAATATATTTCTAGCTAATATAGTAGGCTTGTCTTTTTTAGATGCTGTTATCTGGAAGACATGATGCTTTTTGAAGCATTCTGGGAACAACTAACAAGATTACCTAAAACGACGGTAATTTCATTTGTTAGTCCCTGTGATACCAGGTCTTAGCAGATGCACAACACTACTTGTGACATCAGCTGTTCAGAGGAATGCTCCATAAACATTTACAGTGTTGTCACTTCTGCAAAGCAAATGTGACTTGGCCTAAAAGTAGCTGAATGGTGATTCAGACATTTATGGTTCAGATGGAACAGTTTGATCAGATTTCAAGGAAACTACAATATAAGCAAACCCAGTTATTAACCAGTTTTTACATACATGTGCCCTTTTGTAACTGTGAAATGTCTGTGTGGTTAAATGTAATGATTACGTATCCTTCTCTAAATCTGCCATGGCGGAGTTAATCATGTATTCTTCTATAAATTAGTTTGACTGTAATTGACCTATTCCTTGACAGTGTAGCAGGGTGCCTTGCAACAATATTCAAACATTTGTAATATGCCAAATTTTCTGAAGTTGAAACATAAGTTTGATTGTATTTTGTAAGGATTTTATGTGATAGACCAAAAAAAAGCAGCATAAAAGTATGAAGTGGAAGAAAAGGATATATGGTGCACATTTATCTTTAATGCATATCTCACAAGGGTGCATGCATTTTAGTTACCCCCTTACTATGATATACTTAAATACAATCCAGGTCAAAAAGGTTTTCCTCAAAAATCATTATTAAGATAAATCTTATTAATACCCCTGTCAGATTTAAATTTCTAATTTTTTTTTTCATTACCCTAAAATGTTAGTTTCTGTTATTATTGAAACAGAGATCTGTTAAACATCTGTATTGGTCTAACTGCTTTTAAAATCTTACATTTTAAATCTCTTAAATCAAATATTTTGCACGTTTCTATTGGTATGCGGATAATTAATCTATAATCTGATAGATTCTCTTTGAGGTTATAGTTATGAATGCAGGGCTGCATCACTATTAAAAACCGAAATTAAAAGATTACAATAAATTAAACTTTGTCAGGGGTATTAATTTTGATCTAACCTATGTGCAGCAAATAGTTTAAATGTGTGCAATCTCAGAGTAAGAGGAGCTGTGAAATCCCCAGATGTTTGTTAGAGACCAGGGAACATACACTTTATTCAAGTGAACCTTGGATAAAGTGGGGAAGTTAAGGGTTACATTAGTAAGCTCCTTTCTGCTAATCTATCACATAAAATCATAAGAAAATATATTCAAGTTCGTGTTGGCAGTGGAAAAAAATCAAAAAAGTTTAACTGCTATCAATACTTTTGCAAGGCACGGTATGTTTAACTGATCATGAGCCTGCTTGACAGTCAACTGAGCTACACCAGATGGTAACATTTCTCTTGGCCCTGATTTTAATTTAGTTAGAAATCTGTAATTAGGTGGGGTGCTGCTCATACCCAGGAGTTTGGATGAGTGTACAGAGAGCCAGACACACATGCACGTGAGGTTAGCTTCCATCCACTAGGTGGCTTCCAGTGGGGGGGTCAACACCAAACCAAAGAAGGGGGCGACCAGACTCCCTCCCTGATTGCAACATGCACCGCCTTCCAATTAATCCAACCACAAAATGCTACTTTTGCTCATTAGAGGATTAATACTTGTTACAACAGAACGGATTTGAATTTTTTTTTTTTAAGTGGCGAAAGTAAACAAAAATGGTAGCATACATGTCATGCAACACAAGATGGCACACACAATGCTTTTATGAGGAAATAAGGGCAATTGGGATCTGATTAGGACAAGACAACAAGGCATAATGACGGGCAACAGATTCAACCAATTAGCCACAAGAGAAAATAATGGTGTCTTACCAATGCGGTCCAACCGGTCAATGGCGACAGTTTCAAATGCACGTCGCATCATGGGGTACTCTTCAAGCACCTCATTGAAATGGTCCACAGAGAGGGAGAAGAGTCGACAGTAGGTGTCTGCCCGAACGCTTGCTGTCCGTCTGCCCTTGGTGAGCAGACAGATCTCTGCATGACAGTGACACAAGAGGCACAAAATAAAAAAACATCAAGGAAACAGCAGCAGGACTGAAGTATACAGAAGGCGATAAAGGAAATCGTCCCAGTAATTACTGTACACATTATCATATAGATGAATCTGTGGGAACAAAGAGTTAGGGAGTAGAAGAGCTAATGTGAATGTAAATAAATTGAGAAGCTCATAAGCATGTCTGTCACACTCTTTGTGCCAAAATCATTTATCATCCTGTAGAGGGATAATAGTCCTGTGATATAAAACACTAGTTGGTGTTAGAGTCAGGCTCCAAAGCACTGCGCCAGTTTAAAATATAATCAGTAACTAAAGACAGGGATGACTTTACAGCATCTGTGTATCCCCTGTTCACAATGCATCAAAACACAAGGACAAAAGCTGAACAATACATCAGCAACAAATCTATGTTCTCATCATAGTCCTCGTTAATCACGTTTATCACATTACCCCTAAGCAGACACAATATTGGTTAGCGCCCCCACTTCCCACCTCAAATAACACTGAATTATTGTCTACAGCACAATTACAAATCCATTTTTAGAAATAAGCCTCACTCCTCAAATGTCATAACAGTTACCCACTAATAACATACACTGCAAGAACAAGATTATGTCAAATTTGTTGCCTTGATTAGAAATCTGCGCAGCTTAATCTTGACAAATATTGTGGATGGATCATTTCCTTTCCTGATGCAGTGGGAGTTACCTATAAAACTGTTCAACGGTTGAGCACTTGATCTCCATGGGGAGGATGCGTCAAAGTTAAATCTCATTTATGGAATGCACAAGATCTGTCTGCACTTAAAGCATATTTACTCTGCTCCACATGCCAATTCCTTGAAGTGGCAAAATACAACTGTAGGACCTGTTCTTTAAAATTTAAGGCCCTGTCTATACTACCTTAGGTGCAAAACATAAGGTTATTGTTCTTTTTGTACATCTGTCCGCATGCAATATGACGTGAATAGGCAGTGGCATAACCGGATTTTTTTTCAAAATAAGATAAAAAAAATTTACTCTGACAATAAAGTCCATCGCTGGGCTTGATATTCATAGAATTTTATAAATGATGGCACAGGGGCCCATTTTTCACACATCCAGTCGGTTCAACTTAGGGTTATCCTTTTTTTTTTTTAGATTTATATCCTATCCTGTCTTGTCCAGCTTAATGACTGACAGGAAAACATGAACAATGAAAAAGAATTCACAAATACATTTATTTTGTAAGAAATTCTAGCATTACTGTACTGTACAGTACTGTACTGTTTTGACCATGCTCAGCATTTTCATAATTTCAATGTTTTTTGTGTAGTTATTGTCAGCTTTATGCCACCTTAAATTCCAGCCTTGGTATTACACTGTTATAAATTTTTCAGTTTTAAATTCCTAAATTTTGAATCTCTTGGATAATGCAGACATAGATACTGTGAACAGAAATTACCTGTTATAAAAATATTCAGGGTAGCAAAGACTGGAATCCTAGCAACGTTAATTCTAATAATTCTGCCAATAATTTGAACGCTTGCGTTCACTCAAAGTATTTGCACCAAGCATAAAGCATTTTTTCCCAAGTGGCCAGAAAATCATTGCAAACAACAATACTGATTTGAATGGGAAGTGATGTTGATGTCATGGCGAAAAATCTGAGAGTGTTATGACCCAAAGGCACACTGTTCGTTTGAAACCCTTCATCCTAATGGTTCACAATACAGGAGGACATCGTAAACAGCAGGTACATTAGTTGATGAAAAAGGACTTCAGGAAAGCGTCATATTTTTTTCTTATTTTCTATAAGGAGAGCCACATAAAATGTGTTTTTTCAAACATTAACATTCATGAGATAAGATAGTATTTGCAGTGCCTCACTGAAACAAAAGATACATATATTTAGATAGACTACACCCTCATCATCTGACCTATATTTGTTCCAACGCTATAATCTCCATTTACATTTGCACCTGTACACAGTCTATCACTTTCCTTCACGTGGCCAACCTTAACCTGTTACGGTGTAATTTTTCTTGGCTCTGCCATTATAAATCATAGAAGCAGGGCACAAAATGTGCAAGATGTGCAAGCAGCACTGTCTCAAGCTGTGAGTGTGAAGAAAGTGTTAGAACTGCTGTAATGGAAGGCAGGCTTTACAGCGAGAGGTACCTTACATACAGAGAACAAGAGAAGCTGCCGGAATAATGCGTCATGTTACATGTGGTTTGAGTCATGTGAGAGATAAAAGAATCAAAACAAGTACAGATGGTGGTTGGTCTGTATTTAAATCAGCATACTATGCAACTAATAAGCTTATATGACGACAATGGCAACATTCAGAGATAAATGTGGTACCCGACCCTAAGATCCTGCTAAAGTGAACAGCTGAACAGCAGTTGGTGAGTCGGCAAATCTTTCTCTAATGCTAATATAGACAAATGACAGCTCTTGCAAAGTTTTAACTGACATAAACATTAAAGTAAAGATTATTTTTTCCTTTTATCAAAAACTTTAGTCATCAATACTTATAAACTAGACATTTGTTGTGCTATTATTTGTTAAATTATGCTAAATTTAAAGAGATTTAAATACTTGTGAGTTAATATTTCATGTTTATTCTTAAATACCAATTGTTTTGATATCACAACACAGTTAACTTTGCTTTTCCAAGGTCAATAATACATTTCTGTATAGCTGAGAAACCGAGGTCAGAAAGGTGATGCTGACACAGTGATTTATTGTGCCACAAGACCCTGCTTTAGTGATTTATCTGACTGCTGTGTTCTCCGGGTTACCACCATACGATTATACAAATTCAGAAGCCACTGTGTTTTGTGGTCCTTGTTTTCAAATCTCTGTGGCAGCCCTAAAAAGAACTCCTCGGAAATATCTTCCCTGTCAGTTTAAAAAAACTCTGGTGTTGCTGTGGGTTTGTGAACGTCAGGGACCTGTTATCACTCTTCATGACGTTGCGGTTTGACACATTTCTGTTGTGCTGTCACAAAGGATAAGCCCACTCCTGGAGCGTTGTGGATAATTTACCATCACATCATGTGTCACGTATACACTTGTGGCAACCAGCTTCCTCCCCTTCTGAGTGAAGAGGGTATGCCTTGTATGACTCAGAAACTGAAGCCCAAAAGGGATTCTTGCCTCCTGTCTTATTGTTCTAGCATCATACAGTATAATTCCTATAGCTACACAGTGGCTTCACTCCAAGCTGTGTGATAGTAATGTGCAATCCCATCAACCTTGGCCCCAGAGGTGATATTATTTCAACATACAGGTGTAGTAACGACCATGACTGAAGGTGTTCTGTGACCTACTGCCTCCCCAAATGTCCTTTTCATCATTATGCTATTAGTTCCCTGTTTTTTTTTTCTACAGGAGCAATTCCAGATGGTCTCTGACTCTCCTGAAGAGTGAATCATTTAAAATTTAAAGGCACCTTACTGTAAGTATTCGCACCTTTTGAATCTTTTTCCATTTTTGTCATGTGGCAATAAAACTATATATTATATGATAAAGGAACACATATTCAAAGTTTTATTTTAGTCAATAAGTTTATAAACTTTGGCAAAAATTCTTCAATAATAAGGCCTTTTTTATAGTGTTAAAAGAGAACCACACTATGTCTTGATGGTAATTTTCTACAAGCCAGTCAAGGAACATAGACATGGGAAAGCAAATGCTGTGAAAGCAAATACTTTGGGCAGATGAAACCATAACTGAATGTTTTGACACCTTTTGCACTACAAAAAAAACAAAAAACAAATCCAGAACAAACACTGTAAAACATCCATTCAAATCAGTATTAATGTTTGCTTTTCTTCAAGTTGAGCCAAAACACTGTTAGGATGGCATATACCTGAAACTCAAAACATGGCAGGCTCTAAGGATAATCTGTTATAGGACACAAGAGACTTCAGACAGGCAGTGAAGATAATCTACCAGCTGGACGTTAAAAAGAAAAATACAATCAGAGCTAAAATGAAACAGATCAAAGCTAATTTTGTGAAGAGTAGTAGTGGAGCAGAGAAGTCTTGAACATTTTTGTTTACTAATTCTTTCCATCCAATCTGACTGAGGATGAGATATTCTGCAAAAAAAAATATGTCTTTAGATCTGATAGCTGGTAGAGACGTGGCTTAAAGACTTCAGCTTATTAGAATATAATATTCAGGGTTCTTTGTCAAATAATTAGTTTAAATGAATTAAATAATGTGTCCTTTTTGACTATCGATATGTTCTACTTTAATTTAGTTAAACAAGAAAGAAAAAAAAAAAATTCTTGGAGGTTTATGGGACAAAATGCAAACAGGCCGAAGAAGTATGAATACTTTTTCAAGGTGCTGCTTTTTGTGTTCTTTTTCCTTTTGAAGAGAGCTGTAGTGACATTTGTAGGGGATGCTGGGTAGGAAAAATGGATTTGGATTATTTAACAGGGAGACTTCTTGTTTCTTTTCTGATTTTCTGCCTCCCTTAGCTTGTCAACGAGGCGCGCAGTGCATTCAACAGACACACCAAAGGGAAGGTATTCTTAGACTTCTTACCCTCCTCCCATAGCAGGGGTGAACACAAGATAAAATATGCGAGACGGCCTAAAATAGGAAACTTTGCTTTCCTCTCAAAAAGACAGCAACGTCTGCATGTAAATTTTGTTGAAGTAAACCAACTGCAATGGAATCAGGAACGACATCTTAAAAATTTATATCTGGAGCATTGCAGAGAGAATTAAGATTAGAGATTTAGGACAGTGATAGGATGAGAACAGCAAGGTGCTCCTGACGTCAAGCAGAGGAGTTTTCACTGGCTAGTGTTAAGTAAATCCAGTGTATGGAGAAGGCGAGGAGTTTAAAATTTCTAAGTTGAATGTGGGGGAGGGACCTCTGTGTGTCTTTAGGGATGCCTGATCCGTGCCTTGGCCAACACCAGCAACCAGATGAGAGGTTATGTAATCGCAGAAGCTGACTAATGTCTGACACTGGTGTATTGACATCTACAATAACTTCCAACAGAATCAAACACAAGCTTTAGTCTGCTTTCTATATAAGCATGTTACATATACACTGCGTGATTTGGAGCAGGCTGAAAGGATGCTGTAATCCGATTTTGCATTTTTTATGTGACTATAAAGAAAAGACATTTTATGGAAAATGTGTCTCTTTTTTTCTTACCTCCAAAGTAGGATCCATCCGTTAGTTTCATCTCCTTGTTGAACTTGGTGATGACGCTAACAACGCCATGCTGAATAAAGTACATCTTCTTTCCAACTGTGCCTTCCCTTATTATATAGTCATTAGGCTGGAAAACCTCAAACTTCAGCTTGCTCAGCATCCCTGTCACAAAGTTGGGGTCAGCATTGGCGAACAGAGGCATAGTGGCCACGAGCTTACGGCAGTTGAAGTTGACAATTTCCTGGCAGGGGAAGAAAGGGAAAGTGTTTGATGAAACGGAAGGGTTCATGCCATAAATAATTCACCTATTTCCACCTAAACACAGCGGAAAACAAGCAGTGGTTAGGTGGTCGGACACATCCCCCCCTTTCATCTCTGAACCGTTATCTGCAAACATAAATGAAATTGGACACACAGTGCTGATTTAGGCTTAATACTTCCAAAGCACCTCCCATATCTCTCATGAGAGGAAACTTTTTGGCACATAAATCAGATCCTGATGAGTTTGCCCTCTGGTGCCGGCTGCAAGCCATCTCGCTGGTCTCATCCTGTCCCCTCATACGCAGCAGGAGATTAGGAGCTTGTTGTCTGTTTGTCTGTTGCATCTCTGTTGCTGTGCAGATGGGAGGCCGGGGCACTTGGCAACCGCAGCGATGTGTTGTTGACCCCACATGAGCGATAACCCTCCTCCAGTGACAACGGGACATTAACAGGATGATAACCAATCTCTGCGATGTTTGCTGGCTACATCAGTGTAATGGAAAGGAATTTCAGGACGGCCTCAGATGTGTTTTTCAGCAAATGTCATGGAGTTCTGACCTCAATCAATCGCCAGAACTAATGAATTAGACAGGAAGTAGTTTTCGTAGCTGGCCAGCATTCATGCCTGGGATTCAATCTTTTTCTATGACTCTTCTAAAGTTTGTAATATTGCTGCTGGACAGAAGCACTAGGAGTTGCTGTAATGTGATGCTCTCTATTGACTAACAGGGATTACATGTGTTTTTATAGCGTCCTTGAATGTAACATCAAAGGTGATTTTTTTTCTCTTACATTTCCAGTAACTGATCACCTGAAACAGGTTGGTTTTTACAGTTCATAAAACTTAAATGAGATAATACTGAAATTAGTAGAAAGCATTTTCAAAATTATTTAGTTTAATTAGCAAAACTGTTTAAATTTGATATTTATTCAAATTTATTCATGGTGACGTTTACTGCACAGATGTATTAATCTTATGTTTCTGCCTTAATCTTCCTTCTCAGTGCATGTTGATATAGATTGGGAATAAATATGTTTAGGGATATGGCTTAAAGTTTGGTACTAGATGTTTCATACTGTCCCAAAGTTGGTTACCCATTAAAGCTTTTTCTTAGGTAAAAAGAGCCCAAATTTTTAACTGAAGTTCTCAGTGTTGAAAATGTTAGACAGACTTACAGTATATACCCTGTAGAAAGACTCATACACTGTTTGTAAAAAGGAGCGCTAACCCATCAGATTTTAAAATGCGGTAAATTGTGCAATAACTTTTTAATATAATATAATATATGTATAATATAATATAAAATGGGCAAATGTAATATGAAATAAGAATAGTAGGGTACACAGACTACATTTTGAAACATAAATGCAGCATTTGTGGCTTTGAAAACATAATCTTTTTTTTGTTAGCTGTGGCTACAATGTAGCTTGCCACTATCGGTGTGTGAGTGTGTGAGTGAATGGGTGTAAACCACTTTGGTCATGTCCTCTGACTTGAAAAACCATTATATAAGAACAGGCCATTTACCATTTAACCATTTTCCAATATAAGTGTATGGGTCTTTTTGTTGGGTTTAGATCAGCTGTTTTCTTGTCCTTATGCCAGATTTCATCAAGCTTTTTGCACACATTGAACTACCCCATTAGAATATTTTTACGTAAAATGTTTTAATCCCTTTTCCTTCCACGTAAACATCTGGAACAATAAACCAGCACTGCACAACAGCTCTGTGAGGTGACTTAATGGGGCTAGATGAAAGATTGCACTGAGAGCATTGCTTGGTTTGCTGTTTATTTTTCTTCCTCCCTACATTCCTGCAGGCTTGATTATTCCTGATACAGTTTGCTGATATGGGACGCTTAGACATGAACTGGCCTCTTATTTTGCATAAATATTTAATATAATTTTCAATGAAGTAGCTGTAAATAGGATTATACATTTGCAGACATTCAAATAGCTATTTCTTTTTTATTGCTAAATAAAAATTCTCAGCTTATCCTTCGAGAAAAAGTATTATTTCAATGCAAAACGATGTGACATCAGCTGTCAGAAACACTTTAGGGTATTCTTTTTTAGAAATACAATTTAAAATCCTATCAAGTGGAAATGATATGCGGTCAAAGTATAAACTTAGTCTTGTGTTTCATCAGCAGAGCTGTCTCACCTCTTTGAGTGGGTCGTTGAGTTCGCTCAGGATGTTGTCCTCATCAAAAATCTTGCCTTGATAGCGGTGCTCATAGTAGTCATGGATTTTCTGTCTCATGTCCGCTGGAAGCTTGTGGAAGGACATGTATTGCTCCACTTGTTTATACTGGAAAAGAAAAATAATAAAGATCTAATTTCTGACAGATTAAACTATGATTTTACAATAATTTCCTTTTTATTTTGTTTATGCATGCAAGAAGGAATCATTTCATTTAAAAACACAATTTAAATCGAAAACAAAGTTGCATAAAGCACTGTCGTCCCACTGTGTACTTTTGTGTCCCTGTAAGAGGACAAGTTGTGCTCTCACTGAGTCACAGAGGCATGTCCTGGTTGTGTGTTGGGAGAGTGCAGCACAATGATAGGGATGCAGGTGGTGAAGAAAACCAGGAACAAGAACAGGCCGAGGGCGATGTCAGACCAAGGTAGCGGCTCAGAAAATCTCACCAAACCCAGCGGTAATGCAAATAAACAAGGCAGAACTCTGCAACCAATTAAATTTAACTGAAAACTCAATTTTCAGGACAAAGTCTTCCTGCTATTCCTCATAAGACAATTAGAAGAAGCTGGATGACTTATAAAGATGCTGCCACTCTGAAGGAGTAACATCCTATTTTTAAAAATCCATATTCTTCTATTTTTTTATTTTGACACTGTCAACTTTCTCCATAGCACTTAAGGTGCATGTTAAATAAAATATTGATAAAAACATGTTACCTATCTAATACGCTCTAATGATGCAATTTTGATAAATTTTTTTTTCTATTCTGGTCTTTTTTTGTTTGCATTAACTCTAAATAAGTAACAGCTGAAAGTGAAAATATTGAAGCATATTGAGCAATCTGTCTTCAATTTGCTTTGCCATATTCATTGGGCATATAATCCCCTTTGGGACCTCGTAATAATATGAAACAACCATAACTGTTGCTTTAAAAATAATCCAAACATGCAGTACTACATACTGAAACATCAACAATTTTTCCTCATAGGATAATTAGTGTGTATAAGGTACAGGTGGCAAGCAGTTGAAAAGAAACTGACCTAGGAGATTTGACTCAATGATTGAAAATGCCCATTAGATTGCGAAAGACCTTTTCATTATCCACATTAATCCTGTCTGTGTTTGTCTGCAACACACATCAAACCGTGAAGGACAATATTAAGCAGACTGAGAGGTAGATGTGTGCAATCAGGTTTCATAACTAACCTCTCTGCAACAAACTGTTGGGTTGGATAAAATAAAGCCTTGACTTGACATGCAGCTGATGAAGATGGTGCCACATAACTGCAAAAGGTGTTTGTTTCAGATCACATTATACTGTATGTGTTTCCAGAAAAGAAAATTAATGGTTATGTGTCTCCTTTAGTAAAAGGGTGATTTAAAGATTGATATTAACAGATGGATGCTGGACCGGATTTTTTTAGCATTTGAAGAAATCAGAATTTAAAGGTCACACTTTTCTTGATGTTAGTGTTTTTTACAGTTCTCCATAAAATACACTGAAATGTAAAAATGGAATGAGTAACTTAAAGACACATTTCATAGTAAAATTAGCTTTTATATAGCATATACAGTCAAAGCAGAAATCTGTTTCTTACTAAGAAATGTTATCCAACTCTATGTTGCCATTGCTTTAGCCAACATTTGACTACAAAATAAAATGTTTTATATGATTGTTGTAGTTTTGCCATGTCAAGGTTTGAAGTACTAGTTGGATATAACTAAAAATGTACCTCCGATATTAGGTTTATTTAAAATTGCAAATGTGATTGTTCTCAGGACAGCTATACTGTAATACAAAAAAATCAAGTAATCTCACAATATGTTGAACTTTTCTGGCAGAGTTGTAACAATAACATACAAAAAAGCAAACACAAGGATGAAGAAAAAACAAAATGTTAAGAAAAGAAAATATATAGAGGCTTCTTGAAACGAAAAGAGCAGAAACAGCAAGGCAAGGGAAAGCCAAAAATATAATTGAGCCCATCTATTTTGATCAGTTTTGCAACAGATTTGTGACAGACACAATCTTCCCTTCTAGTCCACAGACCAGACAGCTGAAAATAACCAGCATCTCTCACACTCCCCTGGGTAATCATAGCAGAAGAGCGGGTGAGAGCAGACAGCAGCTGTGAGCATGGTAGCTCAGACCAGTGGCGAGCTCTTTGACCACTGTGGCGCAACCAGCCCCACAAAATGAATTTTGTCAGCGAGGGAGAAGACACTTGAGTCACAATGACCCCCTTTATTGATTCCCTCTCCCAGCTGCAGAAAGGTGATAAGGGACCATGTTTTTTTAGGTGGGAAATTGATTTATGTTGAGTTCACACAGTTGTCCTGGATAGTGTCCACTGTGGCCAAAGCAGGCCATTTGGACTCGGTTTGACAAGGTGGGGCATGGAGTAAGGCGAAAGTGGTGACTTTGAGTGGCTGACTGAACTTCTGTGTCCATACAGTAATAACTCAAGAAGAGATACAGGAGAAATCAGAATAGGATTATTTTTAGCTTGATAGCTACAACTTGGCCACAACTGAAACATCAGATTTCAACACTAGGCAACACTAGATCCTGCACTCTTTGCAGTAGTTTATGCTATATAGTGTCAACTGTGCCATTTTCAAAATAAGCAAAACATTTAAAGCTAAAATAAGAGGAAACAAATATATTTTCCACATGAGAAGTCATGTTTACTGTTCATTCAGAATGCAAGAAAGAGTGAGAGAGAACCACAGTTTCAACGGATAACAGGATGACTCAGCATATTGCAAAAAAGTTACTTTGTTTATTTTTTCATCTTCCTCCTCTAATGATTTTAATTCTTTTTTTTCCCAGTAATGGTAAAGATTTAAATCCTCCAGCAATGAAAAGTAATACTGTTGTATAAGTTCTCTTAACTGGGATAATAAAACTTTAAGATCCCAAATATTAGTGACTTTCTTTCAAAGAACTAGACTGAAGAACTGTTTTACAGCGATCTGTCTTTAAATGATAGTCATTCTAGCTTTAATGCATCTGATTGAAGCTTTAAAAAATAACAGTATGTATATCTGTAAATCCAAATTTAATGTTTTTTAATCCTTTTATACGTTTTTGAGGAAGTAAAACAGTTGTATGGCTGATACAACTCCTTATTTTCTCCTTTATTTCTTACAGAAGTTCATCACTCTTTTCCTAAAGAGAAAATAATGGCAGCTAAATAGGATCTTGTTTAATTAAAAATATAAGAACCAGCTATACAGTGTGGTCTTCTGCCCTCCTCAGATGAATGACACAGATGTCCTCTGGCTTGAAGAGTGATTCAGCACCATGCCATCACAGCATGGATGTGTTGATATCATGCATACTTTACTCCCTCATTTCCTTCTCTCCCCTCCGACAATCTTCTGACTCATCTCTACTAAAAGTGCTCACTCTGTATTTTTCTTCCTCTTTAAATAAGACAGATTCTCTTCATTATAACAAATGTATTGAAAAGTTTTATCAAGCATCATAACAGAACCTTTAAATACAACAACTATATGGGTCACATTTTCTCAACACATCCTTGTCATAACCATCATCTGACATGAAATTACTTGCAACAAGCACTCCCACATCTTCCATCTTTGCATCCGGGCTTCCAACCCCCCAGCTGTGGCAGAGATAGATGTAATGACTAGAGGCTCAGCACCCTGAACTCATCCCTGCTGCTCTTCATCCTGCTTCACTGATATGCACAGCCATGCAGCAAAAATCAGCACTGGCTGAACCTGACCACGCAATGGGGTTTCTGCTCCCTCAAACAAGGCATATTCACTGCCTTAAAGCTAGAAGTTCAGAGCCTGGGGGGTTGATGAATTGGGAGGTAAAATGGAAAGAGGGGGGTGGATTAAGACTATTTGCTGTGAAGCAGATGCACATCACACACTGAGCTAGAGGCATGTCAGAAAATCAGTAACTTCAGACAGCAGACTTGTTTGCTGTGGGAAGTTCTTTGTGAGAACACTCTGTGTTGTGTCTTTAGCTGTCCATAATCAATTTCAAAGTTATCTTCCCAAGTACAATACATTTGGACAGGAAAGACACACATTTTCACTTTTTTTTTGTTCCACAATTTTAAAGATTATGTTTCCAGCTATGCATAAGAGTGATGCTTCAGAAAATGCATTCTGGCAAAAAGCCCTGCAATTACACAGTAATGACAAGTTTTAAGTGGCATGTTAAACAGCTCGGTGGAGCCGTGCCAAATGCAATGAGGAGTGCTTTCTCTAGATTGCATCGACCATGAAAGCGTCTGGCAAGGTCAGCCCGTCATTCTAGAATAAATTGAAACCATCTAAATGCTTTTATAAGCAAGGTGTAAATTAATGAACTGGTATTTTAGCATGTCCTGTTACTGTTACAGCCAAGGTGACTCTGCTTATCTGAGTTATGGTAACAGCCTCGCATGGGAAAGATAATGTGTATAATTTCAACTTGTGGTTGTGATTATACATACAATAAAAAACCTGGTTTGGCATCAAACTAAAAGAGAATATTTGAGTTGGAATCTGAATATTGGAATTTAAAGTATCATACATTCTGACTAAGTTCAAAATCCCCTTAATGATGGAAGTGCTATTCAGAGAAGTCAAAGGTGCACACATCATTTAGTTGGTCAAAGTACAGATATCTAAATGTAAAAATACTGATGGAGCTTTTTAACTTACGTAAAAATACAAAGGACTAGTGCAAAAGTAAAATAAAGTTTTAAACTTATATAATAAAGAAAAACCTTTTTAATAATGCTATTCTTTAAAAACAGTTCTATGCATAAATGTGTTAGCTTTCCTCTTTTGCTCACTGTGTTGTAAGGAGAACAAATACGGACTCTGTCTAGTTTTGTTGCAAATGAAAACTTCAGACAGGACAATATTAACTGAAACGAACAGTCTTTGGCTTTTATAGTATTAAAGTTGCTAATAGCATTACAACTGAAAGAAAAGTTGAAACATAATCAACATACAAAAGCTAATAAACAGGGAATGGACAGAGAATGTCTCACATCTTAGAATCTGATCCATCATCTGCAGTGTTTTCCAGCCCTCTGTTTTCCTTTAGGTTACTCTCAGGGTTTGTCTATAAACAAACTGTGCTCCGATTAGACATATTCTCTTTCTGCCCTTGCATTTCCCTCTGTTTTGTTACAGCTGTTACATCATGCCATTATTAAAATGTATTGACACATTTGAAAAAGCAAGGACTGGAAAGTAGAGATATCAGTGTTTAAATGTAGTGAAAAAAGTAATAAGTTCCCAGAAAAATGAATGCTTAACTATAGTGCAGACACAGATAAAGGCTACTTAAGTACAGTATCTAGGTTTTTGTACTTGACTCCAGATGTTATTAAATAGCCTTTGACAAATGTTTTGGCATCTTTATTCTATATCCATAAAGGAAGGAAACTGAGATTATGTCTGGAATTGCTGAGGCCAGACTGGTTCCCCATCTGACACACTGGAAAAACATTCTAGAAATAAATCAAAATTTCTTAAATAAACTGTATTTACCATTAATTTGAGTAGGTAAATGAGATAGTTTGCCAATGGAATGAGTATTTTTAATCTTAAAATATGAAATTTAGATCATGTGCACTTGAAATAAGACAATGCAATTGTGTTTTCTTATTTTAAGTGTAAATTGTCTTGTTCCATTGGCAATATGTCTCTTTTACCTCCTCAATCCAAGAACAAATGCACTTATTTTAAGAAAAAAATGACTTATCTAGATTTCGATTTTTTTCCAGTACAGATGACACACCAGCTGTGACAGGGTGTCAGTCATGATTTATTGCTTACTGCAAAATGGATCTGAACTTTCCTACATTTCTGAACCACTGCTGCGTAATCCACCATACCATTCCAGATTCACTGGACAGACGTGACCAAAGTGCTGTGTACAAAGTAAAAAGAACAATCAAGAGCAAACATTTATTGAACAATGTGGAATGATATAATACTTCATTGTCAAATGTTATCACACTAAAACACCTCTTATCAAACCGTACTATGCTGTAAGTGAAAATTTTTTCATATAATTTAGAATTACTTTGCATCACACAGTATTGTATCATAGTCACATTGGGTTACATTGTTTTGCAATGTATCAGATCATGTTCCAAGTTATCATAAGCCATGAAATTGCACTATATTACACTATATTATTTTATTTAATGCCAGATTTTTCCATACTCTATTATACTGCATTAAATGACATCATGCTGTTGCATGTATGCAATTCTAAATCTAAATCCTTCTTTCTCTATTGTCTCAAATAGAACTAGCTCCTCTGTATGATAAGCTCCTCAGAGCTTATCGTACAGTTCTACACCATATCATATTGTGCTTAATAATCCTGAAATGCACTGTAAGTTTATTGAATAATTTAATGACGTACGATATCATGTCAAACAGTATGATTCTGTGTTTTACAGTACTATATCCAATCCTGATGTATCATATCAAAATAACAATGCAATATCATGTTGCATTAAAGTGTATCATATATTAATTGCATTTTATATTCCTTTTTGTACACTATGTTGTTGTGCTGCAATGAAATGTATTTGAATTTAAATCATATGTATTGGTCAGTAGTTTTCTAAATATTTTTGACAGATATTGAATTGTCACTTTATGTAAACAAACTAAAAAAAAGTTTATAGTTTCATTAACTCGTATGCAAACATCGGTTTTCTTTAGTTGACTGCATTGTTTAAAGATTGAAACTGTGATCAAAGGAGAAAAAGATTATTTTATGTTTAAACATTCACTAGCCTAAATTATACCTTGAAAAGAAAACACAGGATTATTATTTTTACTGTTATTCTGAAGTAAATTGTCAAATAACATTTTTGTCTTAAACTAATATTTACGTTATTATGATAAGCTTTAATTGAATAAAACTGATTTCTTTAGGAATATCAAATCACCTCAATTTAAATGAAACTCAAACTAATTGCATATTGATTTTCATAATCATCTTATCACAGTACCTCTAATTATATATGCTGCAGTGTAGGTGACCACTAAGTATCTGAGAATCTCATGTATTGACAGAAAATATTTTAACTTCTACTTCTTTTGAGCTGCAGTGAGATCATTTTAAAGCAAGAAGCATAAAGACAAAAAGACTCATAAGATCATTCAAATACTTGTTGCAAGATACTGTATATGACTAAGAAGCACATTAAAAAAGCTAAAGACCTGAGCACAGAAATTAAATCTGAATATTTGTAGGCCCTTTAGCTTTTCTGAATTCCTGTTTAAGAGATGATGAAATAATTCTGCAAATCCATCTTTCCTTGACTTTATGGTTTTCTTCTAAAAGCAATGTTCTTTAAAATATGAATAAACAATCAAAGTAATAAATAACTAAATGCTTTACATGGTAGGAAAATCCGTTTGTCTAAGCTGGCATTAGTAATTCTGCAGCATAAGGTAGAGTTCAGCTTTTTGTTTTAATCATACATGTATCCTGACGTGACCCAACCAAGGGGATTGTAATCCCCACAAGTACAAAGTCGCATGTACAGCACAATAAGTGGATTTTGACTGCATAACAAAGATGTATAGAAGTTAAATTTGGCGTCTCGTGTGCAAACTCTGAGCACATCGGTCATTGCCGGCTGTTCTGGGAGGAGCCCATGCCCCTCAGCATAATCACAGATGGTGGCTGGGGAAAATGCGAAACAATAACTGTCCATGCGGAAGAAATATATAATGATGTAACAGGAAGAATTAAAGGAACAAAACAGCAAGGTATATTCTGACAGACTGGTCATTCAAAAGCTCAATGCTGACTTCAATGACCTTCTTTTTAGCTGCTTTGGAGAAAGATGAATCCTCTTTTCAGGACATTATCCTGATTTTTCATAATCTACGAGCAACTGAGGGTAAAGCTAATTTAAGTTTTGCTGCAAAGAGCAAATCTCATGTAAAACCCAAAAGAACCAATCAAACTAATACCTGATAATGCCGCTATCTTTCTAACCTTAAATCTTACATTCTGGTATAAAGCAAAACCAATCTACTTTTAAATTCTTTCTTGTGTACAATGACATGGCCCTTACTTACCTTCTCTTGGTACTGCCTGCGTGAAGAATCCAGTGACTGGATCAGAGCTGTAGCATGGCCCACGAACATAGCATAGCATGTGGCGCCCACGATCATGCTCAACATGGTGATCCACAGGTCAGACATACTGACGGGCGCCCGGGCACCATACCCAATACACAGCATATGGCTCATGGCTTTGAAGAGGGCATAGGAGTACTGCTTACCCCAGGATACATTCTGCAAGGACAGAGAGAGAGGAGAGGGGGGAGAAATGTTGGGGGAGTTACTGCAAGGCAAGGCAGTGAAGAAAGGATGGCTTTTCTTTGATGGAGCAATGGCTTTTAGCCAGCGTACTTGTCAAGCCTAAGAGCTTAATGCTGACATTCTATCTGTTTACTTTCCCTTTCTGCTTTCACTGTGCCAGGACCTACTTGAACTCCATATTTTTATTTTCTCAATAGCAGAAAAAAAATCAAAGGTATTACTCTAATCCCTCATTGCATGTGTTCTGTTGACCTGATTAACTTATCTTCTGCACCTGCCCTGAACTACACAAGAGCATTTAGAGCTGTATTTGTAAGGTCTCTCTTATTCATCTGCGTATCCAGATGAGTTTATGAGCAGCAGTGTCAGCCATTCCTCTGTCAGGAAATAATCTAATCAGAGACTTGCTCAAATAACCTTGTAGTTTTAGAGCAGGCTTTTTATTGGACTACTATTTCTAATTAGGGTTGGTTCCAATTTTCTTTTTGACGGATTGTATCATTAAAAAAATCCAACTAAATATGATTATTGTAATAAATATTAATCATAAAAGAAAATATGTGCAGGTTTCTTGAATCCGATGGTTGTTTTATAGCCAAATAATAATTTTAATTTTGTAAGACATGAAGCATAAATCTCTAACATTATTTAGATTTTAGTCCGCTTGAAAAAAAGGTATCAGAACCGACTGGTTTTTATGTGTCTACGGACCAAATAAAGGGAGTTTTAAATTTTGATCAACTTATATATAGAATAGAATTAGCTGACCCACCAGCTGGTCCCCTGGGTCACTGATTTACATCTGACTTGGAATAGTGTAAGATTATCTTAGGATCAGCATTGCTCCAGTTGAAGGCTCTTCTAGTTTGAACTGCCAGAAATGATGCAGAATTTTTTTTTTAGAAAAATGCACCATCACTACTTATTTTTTTAAAACAGAAAAACAACAAGTCTTCCTTTTTAATTCCTATTTAGACATAAATGTAAAATTCAACATGAAAGCATACTCGCTGATACTTGCAGCAGCGTGTGACTTTGTGGTATTTAGACATGGTGCACTTATATATGAAAAAGAGCTCAGTTGGAAAATCAGCTAATTCTACTCCCAGAAGAACAACAGGTGGGTCATTGATTGACATCTCACTTGAAATGTGCTTGGGCGAATGGGAGTACAGGTCTATAAAACTCTACATGTCTCTCTGGTGCGAGCTGACAGAATTAACAAAAACTCCTTATAGATGTCAAAACATTTTCAGAAGAAATTAGCAAAGGTGCTGTTGCTTCTGATTCAAGCCTGTTCTATTGTTTTGTTTGTTTGATTTTACGTCCACAGGTTTTATGTAAGAAACAACAGAATAAACCCTGAGGCAAAAAAAAAATTTATAAAAGTGCATCAGTTTGAATATTATTGCAATGATTTACACTCTGATTTTCAGGAACTCTCCCCCATGTTTGATGCTTCCGTTTATAACAGCTTTGGCATCATGTCCTTGGCCTTCAGGCAGTCTGAGTTACATTTAGCACTTTTAAAAAAAATACAAAGCACATTAGAAGTGACTTACATTTAAATATTTATACTTAATCATTAAAATGTGTTAATGTTTTATCATTATAACAAACTAAACATTCTAGTTCAATTTAAGCTATCTAATGTCTTTTTTCCTTACTTTTGTTGGTCTGAACCCTAACAGTCATGCTCGAAAGTGAGAGCTGCAGGACTTAGGCTCCTCATTAACATGGTACTTATTGAATGGTAAAGTGTGCTCATTTCCCAGAAGATCTCTAACAGGACGACTAGTACTGTATGCAAGAGAACAAGCCCTTTGAGGTCGAGGTACTCACTAAGTGCAGAAAGATTTGCAACTCCTCCTTTTTACAGGTCAAACAGAGATTGTTAGAAATGTAAAATAGAATGCTAAAAAAAAAAACTCGACTTGTCTCCCACAGATCGAAATTATACCATACGTGCAGCAACAACTCTGTGTTTTATTGCTTTTTTTAAACAAAAGACAAAGCACCACAAATGCAAACAACATGAAAATCTAACGCCTGCTGTTTTTGTTGTTCTGTCATGTCACTCAAAAGCTGTTTATTCAACATTTATTCATCATTTCCTATTTTAAAAACTTTTTGAAAGAAATTTTATCAACTGACTATTAGGGATTTTTCGGTTAGCTTTCTTTAATGGACATTATGCACTGTTGTTTTCATGTTTTGCCCATTTATTTGTGTAACAGAATTAATGTGAATCAATTAAAATATACAGTATAACACTTTACAATAACTGGGATGTTCTACTGCATATGAAAAAAAAACAACATTCATTCAGATTTCGATAAATCAAGGATAAACCATAATTAGAATAAATCTAATTTACCTTTGGGTTTGGTTGAGAACCCACATGCTAACAGTAAAGAACAGTAAAATAGGATTTTCAAAATGTGTGTTTATTTATTTTACATTGAAGAATCTAAATGATTAATGTAGACCACCTCATCAAGTGAGTCCAATCTGAACATGAAGACTTGATGAGATTACTGGAGTCTGGTGTGCTACTGCTTGGTTGGAAAGAAAACCTGCAGCCACACAGTCCTTTCTGGAACCACTTTGACACCTCTGATCTAGACCATCCAAAACGCTGCCATCAGAGTCCAGACTAACATTGGGAAAGTTGATCATATCACACTAGTTCATAAATCCATAAACTGGCTCCCTGTTCATTAAATGATGGATTTTAAAATCATTCTGTTTGTCTATAAAGAACTAATTGGGATTGGTCCAACTTTTGTGAGGTGGTGGTCTGGTAAAACATGACTTAGGACACCAGATGATGCAGCATTTAGTTTGTATCCTCCTGTACTCTGAAACAATCTAAATAGTATTAGATATAGGGAAATGGGGGAGTGGTGGCCTAGTGGTTAGAGCATAGAGCTTGCAATCCTGAGGTTCTGAGTTCAACCCCCACTCCCACAGCCTGCACTCTGGGTCCCTGAGCAGAAGGCCCTTAACCCGACACTGCTTCCTGGGTGCCGCGCAATGCCAGCCCAGTGCTCCCCTAGGGGATGGGTTAAATGCAGAGATTTAATTTTGTTGCTCTGTACTTGTGACAGTTCAAGGACAATAAAAAATCAAAGAGTTTTTGTCTACCCCAGAATCAGGTTAAAGTATCAATCCAAGCACTGCTTCCTTTATAAGAGATTGAAGCATGAAAGTGAAGATTTTTAGAATTCCTTTTTTTATTTGATGATTTTAAGTGTTTCTAATATTTAGCCCCATTTTTTCATATAAAATAAATGTTCTTTATAAAGCCCTCTGGATTGCCCTGAGTATGAATGATTGTCTATAAATAAACCTGCCCCACCTTGCTTTTTGTATTCTCCCACCTTCACAGTGCTTGTAACACTCCTGTTACACTACAAACGGCTTTGGAACAGTTGTGTATGTGGTGTGCTATGCAGCATGAGTTTGACCTAAGAACACACCCCCACTAACTAAGCAGTTAACATTTAAATTAAATAGAATAAACAGAACAGTATAGAACCTAATTGTCCCACAATAGGGAAATTCTGGACCTGTGCATGAGACTGTGAACAGCTTTTCAGTGTTTGCATGTTTAACTTGTTTACTGCAGTATACGAGATTAACGTTTTGTTACATTTAAATTCCGTAACTAGAGGACTAACCATAAAGATAGAAAAATACATACTTCTTTAGGAGCCATCTATGTTGGAGGATTACATACATTGACTCCACGCTAACATCTTCAAGGATTATATGCTTTAGAGCTTTGTTTAGGCTATGAAATGACTGACTTTCTGCATTGTTTACATAACAGAGATGATCCAGTGATAAAAAGGTCAATGTTTGGGTTAGTGCCAGTGTATTATTGTAAGGTCTCCATATATGGGAGGGGCGGAAATTGAATTTCATGGGCATTAAAGCTGTACACCTCATTTGTAATCGAACAATGTAATGGTGGGAAGCATTGGCAATGTGTGTGTGTGGGGTGGGTGGTGGGGGCTTTTGGAGGCTGCAGGCGTTTGATGCAACTTTGACGTTTAATTTGATTTGATTACGTTCTGTGTGCAGTGTGGACTTTTAGGTGCTGACAGAAACTCTTTAAAGGGGTCATAGAATGATTTTAGAGGGTATTTGGTGCTGGTCCTTAAGGTCTCTGAATAGGGTGTGTAACATTGTTTGGGCTGAAAAATGCATATTTGCAGTTCTATGCCCCCTAATGCAAGCCTGGTTAAAAGCCCTAGAATGAAAAGACAGGTTTTCTTCTTTTTTATGCTATGCTATATATATTTAGATGAGCTGTGCACTAATTGGTTGGTTTACAACGAGCAAAGCTGCTGAGCAAAGATGCATCATAGCAACAAGCACTCACTCACTGAAACATGGTCCGGGAACCCCGGCGGACGGGGATAGGGAGCCAGCGGGGTACGGAGCGACTGAACCCCACCTGGTGATGGTAGCCTGGACAACAGCGGCCCTGTGATTCCCCCCCGCCTGCCTTACCAGCACCCCTCCTCTGGCTGAGGACCAGCAGCTCATGGCCTCTCTGCTTAGGTCCAGTCCAGTCAGCGGCTAAGCAGTCAACACTTCATTCTGCCTTGTTGCTCTGGCAACTTATTTTCGACCTTTTGGGATTAATTAAGTCTTAAACAAGGTTTAAATTTTAGCCGTTGGACAAAATTGTCTTCAAACACAAATAAACAACGCCAAACTCACTCCTACAGAATATTCACTTGACACTAGTAAGCTTGTATGAGTGATGCAAACAACAACTTTTGAACAGAGCATAAACGAAGAGAAATAGGCTCTTCCATGCTCTCGCACACATTTAATAGACTTTCCCCCTCAGGAGTGGGTACAGGGTTGTGCAGACATAATGTGTCAGAAGGACAGTTTGTATTTGATGCTCCCTCTTTAGAACTGCTCTTTGGGACTAGTAAGTCATTGCTCCATTA